CTTTCTTTCTTTCTTTCTTTCTTTCTTTCTTTCTTTCTTTCTTTCTTTCTTCTCTTCTATGCTAGTTCCATTTACTGCCTGCAAAAGTCCTTAGCATTTCTTATCTGACCAATACCGCAAGTTCAGTTCTATATAAGCGATTTCCTATTGGTATCAAATCCTTTCTACATTTGAACAAATGTTATTTTAAACTATGATTTTCATCATATTCCTTGTATAAGACAGGATGACAATAACCAGCACATCAACTTGGCTAGAGAATAGTCTGGTTGAAGTCTTTGGCAGAGAATACATGGGTCTGTGATACTGATTACAGCGAAGTCAATAGGGACTCAGCAGTCCTGGGACTTGATCTCACCCATTTCCTGCTGCTGAGACGTAACCCACATTCTCTTCAAGGTTTTGTTCCACCTGTGGTTACATTTGGGATACTCTCCAACCCCTTCAAACTGCATTTAAATATCACCAGTACATGGATGGAGCTAGAAAATATCACATTGAGTGAGGTAACCCAGACCCAGAAAGACAATCATCATATGTACTCACACATAAGTGGGTTTTAAACATAAAGCAAAGAAAAATAGCCCACAAGTCACAATCCCAGAGGACCTCGACAACAATGAGGACCTTAAGAGAGACATACATTAATCTAATCTACATGGGAAGTAGAAAAAGACACGATCTCCTGAGTAAATTGGGAGCATGGGGACCATGGGAGAGGGTTGAAGGGGAGGGGAGAGGCAGGGAGGGGAGCAGAGAAAAATTTATAACGCAATAAAATCAATAAAAAAGAAATCAAAAAATATTATCAGTACATTAATTTTAAGCAAAACTAAGGTAGTTGGGAATATTCAAGAACCTCAAACTCAGTAGTAGGATGCTGTTTTACAAATATTCTAAAATTAATCCATCTTTTAAAATACAATAGTTAGTTATGCCAAAAAGCACTGCAGAAGAAACTGTCGCTCGGGCCACACATTTAAACGACTCTTTAAGGGTAAGACATCTAAACTCTGAGCCTGGAAAGTGAAAATAACAGAAAAGCAGAAAGCATTCATTCTCTCTGGTGCCTAGGCTTGTCTGGTATGGCATTCATTACATTAACTAGTTAGCCTTACAATTAGATGATTCTCCTGCCTCAGCCTTCCCAGAGGTGAGGCCACATGTATGGGTATAACAAAAAACACCCAGTTACCATGAAGAATGCTTGGAAAAGAACATGAAATTTATAAAGGCCTATAATTAGGAGTGTACACTATAATTTCCCAGAAGATGTGTCATGGACAAAATTCCTGGCCTGGGAAGAATGGCTTGGATGCTGGAGGAAACCTGCCTTCCTTTTGTCTTGGCTGTGTCTGACTTGAGCCAGCATGCTCCTAGCATCAATAATTCCTTCGGCCCCACCCTCCCCTTGGCCATGAAGAAGGAAGAATAAAGTCGCTTGGGTGTGGTCCTGAACGGCAGAATCTTCCTCTTATTTTATAGATCCAACGTGGCAGCCTTGGCAGTGCAGGCTTGGTTCACAATGATTCAAATATTTAGTTCAGCACAAGGCTTTAGATAGCAACGGACCTCAAACTTCATCCTCACAGGTGAAAGTGGAGGTACTGATAAGGGAAAGATATCAACCAAAAACATGACAAGTAACCGCGAATTAGATGTCATTCACCTTGTCTGATTCCAAATCAGTACTTCACACTCTATCTTGGTTGCTGTTTTATTTTTTTAATTGCTAAATTTGTTCTGTGTAAGTATCATCTGTACAGTTGTTTAGAATACAGATTCAAACTCCTGAACAATTCAACTGTTACTGAAGGTCTTCCATGGGGATTCGTGTATTTAAAAAGCATGTTAGCAGACCCTGAGGCAAGCAGACTAAGATGGTGGCTAACAGAAAGCAACAATTAAACACTCAGAAAAGAAAATTCCAGGAAAGGAAGTGACCTGATGGTTAATGAGAAAACTGGGATTAAGTTTTAAATCTTTTAGATTTTTGTGTAATGCTCCTATCATCTTATTTTACAGCATAATGGAATATGAAAAATATTGGCTGAGTCTTTGGGACTTTTGAATTGCTTCTAACTTTAGCATAAACTGTAGCATAACAGTTATTTGAGCACATATATTTTAGGATATAGAGTTGGCTATAAGAACACTAACACATGTGGGATTGCTTTATAAATTACAAGACACCATCAATTTTAAGATGAACCTTAATTTGTGAGACAATAAAATAAGCTCTTACGAATATAATCTGCACAACAGAGTTGAAAAGTAGCTTTTAAAACTGTTTTGAATGCCCAATCAGTTGGGAACCTGTCTGGAAAAGCTGATGCCAAGAGTTTTTGGACATGCTAAGACTGGAAAAGCTAGTACCCAAATCAGGTTGAAACACTCAACAGGAAGAGCAGACCAGCAGGGCAAAGGGCACTTGTTTGGAGACGTTTTCAATTGTTAGATCAAAAAATACAGAAAAAAGGCTGTTGAATAAACCTGAGAGGAAAAAAATACCTTAATGAAAAAAAATCTATGTTCATTCTGAGTTTTAACTCCAAGTTGTATTTAAATTTGAACACTGCAGGCATATATCCTCCATACACAAAATTATGTGCATTTTTACTTCAGCAAACACAAATAGACAAAAGAAAAAGCCCTCTCTTCTAACTCTACTAGAGGGAGTTAATTACAGATCAGTAACTAATTCACGTAGTTTTTTTTTTATAGTTTTCCAAATGATTTGCCTTGTTTGTACAGTTTAATGATGACTGTAATTCTATTAGGTGAGTTAGTGCCTAATTTGACAGCTGTGACATTTGCAACCTTGAGAACTGAGAGACTTTTCAGCTCAGTAGCCTGATAATGTTGAGAATAGGACATAAACTTTCTTTCACACCCATCTTCTGTGCATAATCACAGTACTCTGACAATATATAAAAATATAGGCTTAAGATCCTTTAAATTTAAGACTGTATACCATGAGAAATTGTAGTTTAAAATCCCATTGTTTCATCTGATTTCTCAATTTGGCATTTCTGGTCTCCCGACTCGCCCTTCTTTCGTAATGTAGACAAACCTCTTTTTAACAATGGAATAGCAGCCATGCTCTACCTAGGGCAAAATAATAAATACAGATGGGTTCTCACCTTCCCTCCTTGACCAAAGGCACCTGAAAAACAGCACAAATTCCAAACATTGTAATTTCTGAATGTGTAAAATAAAATCTACAAATTTAGCAGAAATACGCACACCTCTTTCTGATTGATGGCCAAGTCTCAAAGCCTCAAAATGTCTTGTTTTCGTGTCTGTTCCCTTCTTGGGGATCAGTAGACCATGAAGAGACACATTTGTTGGAGATTAGGATTAAGAGACTACTAAAGGTTTAAAATCTAGAGATTAATATCAAAACTTTGGCCTTGCTTTTCATTCATGGGAATGACTTTATCATCTTTGCCCCCCTTCATAGAAGTGGAGTTGGAAAGAATCCCTTAACCAAAATTACAAGGTGAAGCATTTGCCTTTACTGTCAAAAGCACGTGCCATGGTCAGTGGTGATGTTAGCTGTTTACTGTACTCAGGATTACCCTTCTGTCTTTTCTACTGAAACTCAATTTTAAAGATACGGCTCAAATATGCATTGTTAAACACCGATCCCTCCTCTTTTGATGCCTCATTTTCTATGTCTTCTCTATTTCTTTAAATTTCTGAAGCTGGGTCCCTGTGCAGCCTTACTTCTCACTCTCTCCTTCCTTCTTAATTTTAACATCCATGGTTTTAAGTGTGTGATGCATTTGGTGCAACTGCAAATGTACCAGCACCTTCCATCTGTGTAAGTCCAAGACTTCTTCAGTGAGGAAGTACAGACAGATGCTGCTGCCACCATGGACCAGTACTCAGGGATGACATGCAGAGGTACTTCCAAATGCAATGCGTTAATGGATGTAGGAAAGTACTCAGCGTTTAAACTTTATATGGGCCTCACCATGTCTTCCAGAAGCTTTATTATCAGCACTGATTCATAACTGGCAGAGTAAGTGATTATTATGAGTACAGAGTCTTCTGCCACATTCTTTGAAAGTTATGTTGTAAACCCAGACAATGCCTAGGACTCTGTATTTTGTAAATATTGTTAGTGATTTTTATGGTCTTGGAAAATTAATTATTGCTATTTTCAATGTTTCACTTTGAAAAACCTGTATTTGGAAAAAAGAGGATTTACCCACTGTTCCATATTTAGGAAATGACAAGGCAGGAAGGAGATAGACTCATATTGACCATACTGAAGAAAAATTACTCAATTGTATTTTAATTATGGCACTGATTTAAGACATTTGTTGCACATTTATTGTATATCAGCTACTATGTCAAACACTTTATATTAATTTTCTCATTTATTTCTCTATATAGGAGTAGTTATTGTACATTTTCATTTAATACATGAAGAAAACCCCCCAGAAATGTTAGAACTGAATAATGGAAATGCTAGGACTTCAACTAACTTCTTCAGTTTCAGCATTAGCATCCTTGAGCATATCTCAGTGTCAGCATCAGTGACATTTGATGTGTCTGGGAAGCTTCCATGCTCTACAGAACTCAGTACTTTTGTAAACTAGATATTGATAAAGTAAATTCATTTCTACAAAGATAAGCTACAAAGGATGACTACTGACTTCAAGGGCTAAGTTTTAGCATAGGTCTAACTTTCTGTTACCTCACAAAATATTTTTAGTTAGTTTAAAGTCAAACTTATTCAGCAATATTACAGGAATCTTTCATCTATTTTTAAATACATATTTTTATAAGAACTTGTTTCTGTAAATACGACTAACTAGAGTGAGTTTTCTCTACCAACTTAATTTCATCGAAAACTAAAAAATCTTTAACTTGAAACCTGAAAGGCAATGAAGTTTATTACCTTCTGTCCCAGAAAATGATACATCATCCACGAAAACCCAACTTCTGTCAACCGAGCTTAGTCTCAACTCTTAGTATTTACACAGAAAAGACTATCTAACAGGATACATAGGGTACCAGTGGGAAAGATGGGTCAATTTACCCCAGTGGACACTCTGTCTATTAACAAACATGTTCATCAAGGGGTTCCTTTGGCTTAGAAATACAGTCTTTTCATCTCAGGATGAATGTACTTTACAGTGTGACTTTGAACCTCCTCAGTTGATGAAATGCATATCCATTGCTCTAAGTGGTTTAAGATATTGCTTGTTTTGGGATTAGTTTTCTCATCTTGTTGCGTATGCATCTTCGTTCTAAAACTCCATAACTTTCTTTTCAAAGCTTTCCACACTGAGTGTCTACCCCCTGTCCTATTTAATTTCAATTACTTTAGTCTCTTTGAAATAATAAAAAGGACAGGAACATTTCTCTGAAAAGGCAAGATTATTCATCTTCTAGATTTGTACTTACAAATAAGCATCAACTGTGATGTTCTTAAGACCTCAATCAAGATTATGTTTCTATTGACTTGTTATAATTTCCCTTTCTGTGTCACAGTTTTTTATATGAAGAACAGGGTTATGAACTCCTTACAAGAGAATCAGAGATGAGCTATAGCCACCCTTAGTCCAAGGCTAGAGCAAAGCATGTGCTCTGTGAATGAGACTCCCTACCATCTTACCAGCCTATTGTCATCATCACTACCACAGTCATCATCATTAGCATAGTCTTTCTTAACAGCTCTTTCACATAAAAGTCATGAGACTTTTGAAATGTGAGGAAGATCTACATTCCTCCTTTCTGGCTCTGTGTAACAGTGGGATGTTCATTTTAAGGAAAAACTCACCTGAGACAAAGCAGAGAAGTGTCAGAGACAGGAGCAGAAAGACCCCTGCTATTTTCATGGTGCCACGTCACTCACTCAGATCAAGGCCACTTTGCTCAGCTCAGCTTAGGTTCTCTGTCAAGACACTTTCAAAGAAACCCAGAATAAACACCCAGACTTATATATATATATAGAGAGAGACAGCATGAATGGAGTTGGGATCTCCACCTTCTTTATAAAAATCTCCTTCTAAAACCATGTGCAGTCCTATCCACCTTAGGCATTTATGATGATCGTCACCACCTTAAAGAAATGCCTCACGGGCCCCATCAATCTTAGGGAAAACAATTATGTGAGTCGCACCTTAGATCGTATAATGGAGGATGCTACTTTCTTCCAGTAACCTACATTTTCCTAGCAACCAATACATCCCCCCTGCTTGTTCCCTCCAAGGCTCCACTATATTAAAGGATGACTCACAGGTGGTGTTCTCCTGCCTCTTATGTTTCTTTCAGACAGGTCCTACATGTCTGTGGTCCAGGTGAGTAACCACAGGGGAATGGAATTCCTGGGTGGAGCTTGGATTTTCCACATCCTCAAGATGTACTTGAAGGAGAGAGGCATTCTTCATTGTCACCAGAGCTCCATCAGAATGAACATTTCAGGGCAGGAATAAGCTTGTTGGTTTAAAAGTCACTGATGCAGCCCAATGGCAGTGATTTCCCATTTTTAAATTTCAATCAAGCCAATGTTTTGCTTTCATTTTGTTAAAAACATTGAAAAGTTACTATATTGAGAGTTTGGAATAAATAACATTGAATATTTTCTTGATTCTTCAAGCTAAAAATAGAAGTTTTAATAGAAAGCCTTAAGTTTAAAATCTTTGGTAAGATGTCTTTATATAAATTAAATGAACCTAGTAAGTGTATGACCTATCCAAGGATAAGATGTCAGAACACTTTATAGAATACAGAACTATGAACAAAAAGGAAGTTATAGTTATAGTAGGAAATTCTGCCTAGAAACATGTTTTACTATTTAAAATACACTGAGGTAAATTATAAAAAATTAAATAGGAAAATTATGTAAAATGTTTCCAGTTGAAACATGGGGTATCGGTGTAATCTCTTCATAAGAAAGCTATATGTTACATGCAATCTCTTCATAAGAAAGCTATATGTTATATGTAATCTCTGCATAAGAAAGCTGTGTGTTATGTCAAATAATTTTTCTCTTCATTTAAAATGTATATATCACATGTTCCATTTATCTCAACATTTTATTTCTTTTTGAAAATTTTATTTTGATATACTTTTTGTGTCTTTCAAAATGATTGACATGGCAGTAATGGACCTGAAATTTGGCTGTTCCCGTGTATAATTAAAGGGAATCTTAAAAGATTTTTAAAAAATGATTGACAGCCTCTTGGACTTTACAATCAGAATATCATCAATTTGATCAATAGGAATCATAATTGTGACAAAAATAGTTATTTTCATAAGTTTTCTGATAATCATATGAAAAGAACAGTGAGGATAAAATAATAAATTTTGGTACATAAATGTTGCCTTGTAAACTTTCACCTAAGTTAATGTATTAGTGTTTCACCTAAAAAATGATACAGAGCAGCTTGAATTGTTTTTTCTTTTTGAGACAAGTTCTCACTATGTGGCCCTGGCTGGTCTGGAACTCACTATGTAGGTCAGGCTGCTCTTGAACTCACAGAAATCCAGTTTCCCCTCTGCCTACTGAGTGTTAGGATTGAAGACATTTACCATCGTGCCTGGATAGATGGTCGCAATTTTATCTTCTCAACTTTGCACTCAACACAACTACACAGTACTTTTATTCTTAATAACTCCATGATAGAAAGGCACACATAGGATTTTCTTCCAGATTGACCTGTGCTATGCATTCTTCTTATGCCACAAATTATATGATTTGATGAAGATTCATTAAATTTGCACTCTTCATATTTCTTGGAAGAAAGACCGAGGTGTGTAGCACAGACAAGTGTCAGATTCATGATCCACCTGCCTCACTCTCCTGAGCTCTTCACCCTAAATATGCACTATCATGCCTCGCCGTGCTCTTCAATAGCCGTGGTTTTCTGAGTCACATTCAGCTATCTTACGCTTTATTTGCAATAGATATGCCTGTAGAAGTCTTTGTTGCTATTTTTTTTCTATTTTTCATTTGACCTCTTAATTTGTTCAGACTTCATTAAACTAAGTGATCTTCCCTGGATTTCTATGAATTGCCTATAAACATAACATTTTGGTAATCATCAATGTCACTTCAAAAACATTGAAAAAGAGACTATTCCATTAACTTATCTTCAAAATTAGAATGACACCTATTTATAGCATTATTCACTTTTATACCATAGCAATATGGTTCTCACCTTATTACAGATTAAAAGCATGTTTGGAATGAACATGTTTTTAATGAATAGCACATGGATTACCTAAGTCAATGTGATCATTCCCCCTATATATTATCATATGTCTTGCCCCTGTAGACTGTACACCTCTCCTGAAATAAATGGCTTGTGACTTCCCTTTTATTTATATTACAACCCTCTTCACCAACCTTAGCTATAGTGCTTGAAATATTATTCTTATTTTCTTCAAGATAGATTAATGACTCTATAATGTAGAGTAAAATGGTTTGCCATTGCTAAAATGATCAGATACTATTACAAGAGCTTATATAGTCTGTGAGTCAGAACAGAGCAACAAAGAAATTTCCAGTGGATGTAACAGAATTCAATTGTCTCTTATCTCTATATATACAAACACTTTTACATATATGTCTCATTCATATATATATATATATATATATATATATATATATATATATATA